AGGCGAGGGCAGCGCTCCTCTTTACAGCCCAGAACTTTGTCCCCTCGTCACTCTGCAGGCTCCCGCCGCCGGAGGTGTCCCCGCTGCCCGTCTCGCCCTTCCAGCAGAGCCCGCGGCCAGCCCCGCTCCGCACGTAAGGGATGAAATGGTTTTCGTCGCTCCTTTAGCGCTTTTTTATTTGTTTCCCTCTTTCCCGGGCAGTGGTTTCTCCGCAGTCGGGTGTCGGGAAAGAGCCGCGCGTTCGGCCTCTCTGCCGTGGTAAAACGCGGGTGGGTTAACTACCAAACGGGCTGAAATCTCGTTTTCTGTTCATTCACAGTTCCTGTGCTATTAATGAATTAGCAAGGGGAAGTCCTGGGAGTAAAGATTCTGCTATAAAGTAGCAAGGGTTAGTGATGAATGTACTACAAGGTGGTTTGGTTTTTTTTTTTTTCTTTAATCAAGGCACATATTTCAAAGAAAAAAATCAACTTTTTTGAAAAGAATTTAAGGTTGGTAGTTTTCTTCACCTTGCACTGGTAGAGTAACTAAATGGTGATTAGTTACTGTGAAGGGAATGTGAACACTGAATTGGTCTCGCCTGACGAATGCTCACTGAGTGCTGTTGTTTTGCTGTTTCTGAAAATTGCCACAGAGGTATGTGCAATGTCACGTTCAAACTCCAGCCTGAGGTCCAGACAGGACTTTTGTAAAGCCTCAGTAAGGCTGTCCCAAAGACTTTGTCCTTGACTTTTTTCAACACCGGAGCACATTGACAAGGCATTTAGATTTCTGTGACTTCTGGTCGAGCCTCATTTATCTGATAAGTATCTTGATGCTGCACTGGGGGGCTTTGATGTGGTAAGCGGAGACTCTGCCAGGTAGAAATAGTGGGCTGAAGCGGTGGGGATTTGTCTCAGTAGGCAGTTTTCACAACCAACTTTGAGTCGCTGTTCATCCTTGGTATAAAGTCTAAGCTTTGCCCTTTCCTAGGATTTGATATTGCTTGCAAAAACCATTAATGTGAGAGGACATAAAGATCAGCCCACACTGACTGCCCGGGCTCAGCTGCTCCCAGCCCTTGGGGACAGCCACCCTGCGCACCGGGCACGCTTTCCCTGGAAAGCTGCTCCTGTGTACTTTGACCCGCGTTGACAAGAGGGCCACTTCTTCGGCTGAGTCAAAAGCATCCATCCCCTCGCCCTTCCCAGCAGGGTGTGTGCTGACAGGATGAGAGGTTTCAGGCTGAGCGCTCTCGCGCTGGCTTTGTCTTTCCCCATTGCTGCCACCAGTGCCTTATGCTATCTGTATGGGGGGCGGTGTATGTGAAGCAACACAGGTACAGCTTATTTCCCTGATCTTTGTATATGGTCCTGTAACATGATTTGGGACATCAGGGGTAGTGGAAAACCAGTCACTTTAAATGACACTTTCTGCTCAGGACCCCTAAGGCAGTTATACAGCATATGGTTTCGCAGGTGCCTTTTCTGCTAACATAGTGCTTGCTGTGAAGCTGTTCACCTCGTGTCCTACTGTATGAAACTTTACTGAATTATAGTATTTTTTTCAACCCTATGGAACAAAGTATTTGGAAGAATACTACAGAAAGGGGGGAAAAAAAGGTTAATCAAAAAGGTTAAAAGAACTGTCATGAGAGAAGTACATTTGGTATTGGGGACTGATTAGCAAGGCATAATCTCCATCTACCTTGTGCGTTAGTTTTGTTATGGGAGTGATTTCCTTGTCTCAGGACCCATGAGTGTTTGAATAATGATCCCAATAGGACTTCTACCTGATTTCTTCATACCCTCTCGGAATGTCCAGTACCTTCAAACCATGTGGTCATATTCTATTTCTGCTACATTACATTTGTTTTCCTTTTCTCCCAAATAGGTGTAACGTCCAAAAGAGCCTTCACTTCAGGCTATGATGGGATTGTTCTGGTTGCTGCTGCTTTACATCCACATGCTATCACCCACATTTGCTGGAGGAATCACCCGAGTCTATTACCTGGGGATCCGTGAGGTGGACTGGAACTATGCTCCAACAGGGAAGAACGTACTTGCTAACCAAAGCATCGCACATAACCCGTATGTTTAGTTCTATAAGAATTTAGTCTGGTACTGGCTTAAAATAGTAATTTTATGAGTAGTTTCATGCAAATATTCTGGGGCATCTGAGCAAGCAAGAGATACAATGTGATAGATGTCTGATCTTTATGAGCTTAATGGTTAACTTATTTTATCGTAGGAACATAGAAACTGTATCAGTAGGAAAATGAATGGTCACTTTAATGGAGCATCCAGTGACCAGTGCCTGTACACTAGAGGGGAGTACAAACACTATACCAGAACAGATTGTGCAACACTCTGCCCTGGGGTTTCATTTTCCTTAGTTCCAGCTGGTGATCAGCTTGTGTATCCTGAGGCATGATGACTTTTCACCTCCTTGTAAATGACTTCAGAGAGCCTACTCGTCTTCCTTTAAATGGAATTTCAAGCCTTAGACTTAATGAAGCTTTCTGCACAAAACTTTAAGGGTTGTTTGAAAAATATTTTTGTTGCAACAGTAGATCTGGAAACAGCAATAATTACTTTTAGTCACTACAAAAACAAGTTTTGGTTTTAGTTTTCAAAACGCCAAACCTTTTTCTTTGGTGTTTTTTTGGTGGGTGTTTTTTTTGGTGTAGCTTTCCACAGCTTTTTAAAGACATTTGTGGCTTTTTTCCACCCCCACACCCCCCATTTTACGTGGCAAATAACCTGTATTTCTTGACCTGCTGTCCATCATTTACCCCTCCATAATAAATAACACTTGGGTTTATACATGTCTTCCAGAAACAACACAGCAGGAACAGGAGGGGTGTACAGGAAAGCATCAAGGTCTGTCAGTTCAGTGTGGAAAAGTCTTTGTTTGCTGGAGATGCTTAATAGACTAAGATTAGTTCACATAAAAGGAAACCCCCCAAAATTCAGGATTAATAAAGATCTCTTTGCCTCCTGCAGTGATAATGAATGCAGTAGTTTGTTTCATTTCCTTCTCTTTGTGTATTATAAGAGAAAGCAAATTCAAAGCCATTAAACTTAAAAACAATTTAAAAACTGGTCTGTCACTGCAAATAATTAGCTGATGGCACTTATTTCCACAATGATTGCAGAAACCAAATTGCTAGCAGGATGTGATACTGATATGAATTATATAGGTAGTAATACTTGAAGAATT